ATATATATATATATATATATATTATACAAAGTTTCAAAAAATTTATGGTAAATGTTAATAGTTTGCACTTTTAATATAGTTCTTTACCTTTACATTCTAGTTTGATTGCTAGTTTTCTTTTGTTAAGTGTAAGAATCCATTTCGTGTTAAAAAAATTTTAATTGAGTCCTTAAATTATTTATCACTATTTGATTAAATTATCATCAATATATCTTGGTAAATAATAGATTTCTCAAAGGGCAATTGATTTGATAGTGTTACGTTGAAAATGTGGTCGCTGGAATATGTGTTTGGTAGTGTATGTCTTATATTTAAGAAAAAACCGACAAATAACCGAAAAACCGACAAAACCTGACATAAACCGAATCGAGGAAAAACCGACTTGATTGGTTTGGTTTGGTTCTAATATTTGAAAAACCGACTTACTTTGTTTGGTTTCTTTTTAGGAAAAAACCGATTCAAACCGAACCATGAACACCCTTATTTGCAATGATGCCTTAATATCAATAGTAGCAGGGAGATATTACAAATCGATTTATTATTTTATTCTTTTGGCCAAAAAAAGAGATACTACAAACTGATTCAACGTTAATGAGAAGAATATTGATCAAAGAACATTCGTTGGAATATACTTGAAAATATAGAGAACTACTTTATCTTTGATTCAAGTGGTAAATGTTTTCAAAGAAGGTAATTAATTCTATTACATGTCTCCGTGTCTGATATATAGGTTACGGGTTTGAGCCATGGAAGCAATCACTAATGTTTATATTAGGGTAAATTGTCTATATCATACCCTTTGAAGTGCGAACCTTCTTCGAACCCTGTGTGAATGCGTGATAGTTGCCTTTTTTTAACATGTTTAACTTAGTTTATCGAACTATTTCAAATAAGTGTGTATTTTTTAATTCTGATATCCCATTGGCATAAACAGATTAGTAATATACAGAAAGGGAAACAGATATAAGAAATCACTATTAGATGAATATAAGTTGCCACGCAAAATTAATTACTTGACAATGATATTAGTGTTGTGGATCTATCTAATTAGAAATACTGCAATTTAAAAAACAATTTGAATCACCCCCAACCCCCTCTCCCAAAAAAAAAAACTAACAAAGTAATATTAATTTTTTGATATGCTATTCTATTGACCAAAAAAATTGTATTAATTAATGCATTGCCATTTGCCAGCATGCTCATTAATTAGTGCGTAGCAAGTAAGTAAACACATGGAACCTATAGAGATGTATATTTGACACAACATATTCCTATATTTTCAGAACCTTAAATCTCATTTTAAGCTATTGATTATTATCAAATGCAGTGTCCATCGAATTAAATTAAGTACTCCGTTCTTGTTGAATAATCTGTCTTGATCTTTCTTTTCTTTTTCCTACAATGCTTTCATCTTTTATTTTGTGTTTTTAATTGTTAAGAAGACAAAGCACCGTCATTTTTACTAGCGTTTGGACATAGATTTGATTGAAACTTGAAAAAAGTATTTTTGAATTTATATTTATTTTTTAAAAAACAAGTTGAAGTTGTTAGTATACTGTATTTGTAATATAATTCTGGAAATATAAATGAATATAAACAGAAATGAACATAAACAGAAATGACAGAAAAACAATTCGAGTCCACTGAATTCACAGTGTTTCCTTAAGGAATTTAATCCCCTTCTAGTACCCAAGGTTATGGATTATTTCCTCCTAGGATAGAACGAATTACAAACTAGTGTAGTGGTACTTCAAACCCTAATGTTTCAGCGAACACAAAGTTCGGTAGCAAATCACACTTACTTTTGCTTTGTTTGATGCTAAAAGTATGCAGAAGAAGGAGAGAAAACTCAGAAAATAGTAGTGAAATTCTGAGCAGAATAATATTGTATTTATAGCCAAAGTTGGGCTGAAATCTGAAGAGGTGCAACTCTTCAGAATGACTGTTTATGCAAAACGACCACATTATAAATGCAATTACATAAATGGTCATTTACTCAACAATAAAGAGGGAAAATAAAGAGGGAAAATTGAAGAGGGTAGTCTAACAGAAAAATAGATTGGATTTAATATTAATATTCTGTTATTAAAATAAATATTTAATAACATTTCTGTTAATATTTTACTATTAACAAATAAATTTGGTCCAAAAAGTTAATCAATCAATCGATCATTTGACCGAAGCCGAAGCCGAAGCCGAGCGAGCGACGAAGACGGCGCGAGGCTTGTCTTCTTCACAATTCTTTAAGAGCTAGAAGAAGAGCAATTGCTTATATACCCATAAAAAACCTCTTCCTCTTCCAATATGGGACAATGTCCATTTGCCAAGGGGGGAAACTTAAAATTTCACTCAAAATTTCATTTCTCTCCATTTCCCATTCACCCTCTTTTAAGTATTTAATATATTAATTAAATACATAAAAAACTCAACAATCCCCCACATGAATGGGGAATGGCTATATCACGGAAGTATGCATGAAAAACTGTGTGATTCGCAAGCAAGGATTAATTGCATCTGGATAAGTAGGTTTCCCTTTGAACTTTCCGTAGTGAACTTATGTCGGATATACTCGATCAATCGGTAGATTTGATATCTTTGAACCGTCGAACTTTGGTGTATACCTAGACAACCACAAGTCACACAACCAACCCTTAACCGTCTTTGGTTCTCATTATTGTGTTCATTTCAGCCATGAACACCGCCTGGTTTCATAAGTGCGTAGAGAACTGGCCTTACAAAGTTCTCCTTGAAGCGGCTAACACTTCACACTTACATAGGTGATTCCTAAATGTGTCATCCCATAGATACACTATTTGATATACCCCGTATCAAATTTAGAAATCATTAAAAAGCCTTAATACTTTATCCTTGGTACTGAACATTGTCTCATCGCGAGAATGGACCAAAAGTTTAGTTGACAATGTTGAACCGTCATTAATGACTTTGTTTGATCTCTTTGAACCTAGATCTTGGGATCTCCAGTCTTCTAGGTAGAGTTACCGTCACTATGACTTGTTCTCGGCCACAGTCCCATTCCCCTAGATTACTTCTCAACTACCTCTCTAGTTAGGCCTTTTGTAAGTGGATCCGACACATTATCACTTGACTTTACATAGTCAATCGTGATAATTCCTCTAGAGAGTAATTGTCTAACGGTTTTATGTCTTCGTCGTATATGGCGAGATTTACCGTTATACATAATTCTCCCAGCCCTTCCAATTGCCGCTTGACTATCGCAATATATGCATATTGGTGCCAACGATTTGGGCCAAAATGGAATATCTTCCAAGAAATTCCGGAGCCATTCAGCTTCTTCACCGGCTTTATCCAAGGTTATGAACTCAGCCTCCATTGTAGAGCGGGCAATACAAGTTTATTTGGACGACTTCCAAGATACCGCTCCTCCACCAATAGTGAATACATATCCACTTATGGACTTGGAATCAGTTGATCCGGTGATCCAATTTGCATCACAGTATCTCTCAATGACCGCAGGATATTTACTGTAGTGCAAAGCAAAGTCCTGGGTATGTATTAAATACCCCAAAACTCGTTTCATGGCCATCCAATGAGATTGACCTGGATTGCTCGTATATCGACTCAATTTACTTATAGCACAAGCTATATCTGGTCGTGTACAATTCATGATGTACATTAAGCAACCCAACACACGAGCATAATCCAATTGTGATATGCTTTGGCCTTTGTTCTTTGCTAATGCAAGATTTACGTCAATTGGAGTCTTTGCAACTTTAAAGCCCAAGTGCTTGAATTTTTCAAGTACTGTCTTGATATAATGAGATTGTGACAACGTCAGACCTTGAGAAGTCTTATGGATCTTAATTCTCAGAATTAAATCAGCAACTCCCAAGTCTTTCATATCAAACTTGCTAGTTAGCATACGCTTAGTAGCATTTATGTTGGCAATGTCATTACTCATTATGAGCATATCATCCACATATAAGCAAACAATGACTATGTGATTTGGAACATTTTTAATGTACACACATTTATCA